ACCCTTCTCAGTGTCCTGGTTTACATGTGACCACGGGGGGAGGCAGGAAGAGGGGTCACATTTCTTTATGACCTCCTGTGAACGTTTCTGTTTTTCCGGCCACTCTTATGGCTGTGCGGCGATTCTTTTCTTTCTGGATTCCAGGCTTTACCTCGTGGGAGCTCCGGGTCTCCCATCAGCACCGTAATTGTGAGGTGACAGCAAGGGGGACCCCATGCCCCCCCCCAGGCATTCGGAACAGACGTGTAATCCTGAAGCATCAGGCTGCCGCCTCGAATCCATTTTTCTTCGTAAAATGAAAACGGCTGCAAAATAGCATAGCTTAGCGTTTTGCTATACATATGCGCTGTATCCCTTAATTTCAACACAATTACACATGGGGGGGGGGTGTGTGTGCGACCATTGTAGAGGAGAAGAAGTTCTCACTGACGTTCTGATGGCGTTTTCCGTACAAATATGTGTGCAGCATCAGTGTTGTTAGCTCAAAATAATGTCAGTGGAATTCCTTCAGTGGATAAAGGCTAAAATGAACTGGCATCCCGTCCTATCCGTTTTCTTGGAATCGCCAGGGCTGGATGAGGCTCAGCGGGCCTCAGAGGCCATGGAGTCCCCAAGTCCAACCTTGTGTGTGTGAGCGCAGGGGTGAGGGGTGGAGCAGGTCTGATGGTGGCCAGCAAGAGAAGCTGCCCACCCCAGCACCCACTCCCGGGCGCCCCGGTGGCGTGGTGACCTCCCGAGCTCTCAGAGCATGAGAGAGGCTTGCGTGGGTTGTTGCGGTCATTTCAAAGGAAGGTCAGCGACAACGCTCTCCCAGAGGAGAGGCAGGAGGGGCGTGGGCCACAGGCGACAGCTGGCCCTGCACAGTGGCCTTGCGTGCCAGGGCTCTGGCACATCTCAGCCCGCGTGCAGACTTTCTCCAGGTGTTGCCCAAAGGCCAGCTCTCGACCTGGCGTGTGTCCTGTAAAGAAACCATCCTATTTGCTGTGCAAACGTTAGGTCTTTGTACTTCCCTAAAGAGTAGGGAGGCAAAAACACCGCGGAGAACCCACAGCCGTGAGTTTCTGTCCCGCTGCACTGAGCAGGGTGGCCCCACTCCCATCTGTGTGGAAACTCTGGTGGGGACCCAGGCTGCTCCAGGAAGGCCGGGCTTCCTCATTTTTTTTTTTTTAAGTGGAATTTGCAACAGCTTCTGCCCAGAACATTTGTGTCCAAGGCCCCTTCATCTCCCAGGCATCCTGTACGACGACCATGCGGAGGTTCTGGAATCCTTCCCACTGCAGCTGGGTCACAGGACCAGCCATACGGGGCGAGCCTGCTAAAGTAACGAAATGATCATCTCCCTTCCGTGACCTCTGTCTTGTATTTAGGCATGAGTCTTAATAGTACCCCTTCTGAGGAACGAGCAGGAAGCTCCTTTCGTCTCCTGCCAAACGGCCCATCTGTTAGCGGTAGGGGGAGGTCCGTCAGTAAGTGCTGGAAGCCCAGGGCACAGGGGCCAGCAGGGCCCCAGGAATACATCTCTGACACCACTTGATCCACAGACGCGGACGGGCCTTCCCTCCCCTCAGACTGACCAGCAGCCCAGGCTTAGAGCGAGAGCACCAGAGAGAAAAACATAGAGTGTGCAACACCTGCATCTGTGAAACTACCACAGGGATCAAGACAGAGGTGCTGCTCAGAGTGGGCCACGGACGCGAGGCCGGTCCAGGAACTGGCTGTAGCAGTCTGCCAGCGACATAAACAGCTGGAGCTTAGAACGCAGACCAGCTGTGTCACTGAGCGCACGTCCGAGAGGGGCTGACCGGTTTTTGGGCAGCAAAACTCTGTCAGGAAAGCAGTGTGCCCATCACCTTCCGGCCTGTGCTTCCACGCATTGCGGACGGCCACTTTGAGCAGCTTCGTGGAGTAGCTTGGGATGGTCCTGAAACCATCCCTAGTACGATACGGTGTAAAAGAAACATCACAAACCGACAGGGAAGAGGAGGTTTACGCTCCCAATTAGGTTTGGAAAATTGACCATGTGATGCTCCTGAACTTTAAGATTTTATTTATTGGAGAGAGAGCAAGCTGGGGGTGGAGGGGTGGGAAGGAGAAGGGGCAGCGGGAGAAACAGGCTTCCTGCTGAGCAGGGAGCCCGATGGCGGGGCTCGATCCCAGGACCCTGGGACCATGAACTGGGCTGAAGGCAGACACTTAACCGACTGAGCCACCCGGGTGCCCCAAATGCCCCTGCACTTTACACACAAATTGAAGTAGAGCTGGATTCAAAAGTGAAAACGGGGAACAAAATGTAACCTTCCAAAGAAACCAGAAGAAAAATATTGAACCCATCTCCCAGTGTGGGAAAACTTGAGTTCAAATATCCTTTCAAATTACCAAAGTAATAAATGCTTTTTGTAGAGAATTGATAAAGCATTAAAAGAAAGAGTTACCTATGCTCCCACCTCCTGGATAGAATCACCACTGCTCTTCTGCTTTATTTCCTCTGACCTTTTATCTGTTCATAGAAATATTTAATAAAACTAGAATCATGCGATACATACTATTGTGTATCATCCTTTTCCATGAAATTAATTATTTTAAAATAATGAAACAAAGGAAATACGAAGCTACATATATAGCATGATCTTGGTGGTAGTGGTTTGGTTTGGTGGGGTTGGTTTATATACTATTCATTAAATACATTACATTACTATTCTTCAAAATCAAGTTTAGGGGCGCCTGGGTGGCTTAGTCGGTTAAGCGTCCGACTCTTGATTTCAGCTCAGGTCATGATCTCAGGGTCGTGGGATCAAGCCCCACGTGGAATCTGCTTGAGATTCTCTCTCTCCCTCTGCTCACTCTTTCTCTCTCAAAATAAATAAATAAAATCCTTTAAAAAAAAAAATCAGAAGTTTAAAAAGTGCTGTGCAGATGAACATGATTTTCTTCTCTCTAGTTTGACCTTTTACAAATTCCCTGCAAGGAGCCTGCATTACTTTTGCCCTCAAGGAAAATAAAACATTGTCAGTCCAGGGTGCCTGGGTGGCTCAGTTGGTTAGGCGACTGCCTTCGGCTCAGGTCCCTGGATCGAGTCCCGCATCGAGCTCCCTGCTCAGCGGGGAGCCTGCTTCTCCCTCTGACCCTCCCCCCCTCATGTGCTCTCTCTCTCTCATTCTCTCTCTCAGATAAATAAAATCTTTAAAAAAAAAAAAAAAAAATTGTCAGTCCAGCCCAGTGTTCCAGGCACTGGTGTTGGTGGGATTCATTCCGTCCATCTGGCAAGTTGGCCTCAGACCACCCCTGAGGTAAGGGCCCGTCCCTCAAATGCATCTCCTGGGCTCAGTGCTAATAGTAAGGAGGAGGTGTGCAAGGGCCACCCCCCCTCTGGCACCCCTGGACAAGCCATGCACAGCGCGAAGGCCCTGCAGCGGCCACAGCTCCACCCCAGCCATGTTCACTGCCCCCCAGGGCCCTCCTCTGGGGGGATGAGAAGCCAGGGGGGCTATGGCCATGCTGGTAGCACCCCAGGCTCTGCTTTCTGATGTGTGTATTTCCTGCACGTTTGGGGGCATCTCTTGCGCTCATGAGATCGGCAGAGGCTTTGCAGTCAAAGCTTTTCCTGCGAGTAGCCCTACCTAGGCTGCAGTCCCCGGACAGCCCTGTGGGCACTGAGCCCGGCCGCCTCGGCTTTGGGGTTACAGCATGAAGCACTCTAGGACGCAAGACTGGGGGGAATTTCCTTTCTCGCTGCTTCCTCGCGTTTGACCCATCCTGAGCCAAGGCCAGCTCTTTCTAATTCAGTCGTTGGCAGGAGCCCCTCTCGAGAAGAAGTGTAGCGTGAAGGCTGAGATCTTCTGAGAAGGTGGAGAAGGAGCACCCAGCCGTTCTCGGCATGTTGGCTCCAGTGATCATGAGTAAAAGGACCGGGTAGGAGGCCCTCGCAGACCACAAGTATTCACAGGCAGGAAAGGAAGTGAGCATGGCTCATAATTTTGGGATCCGCTCTCAGGAGCACAAAGGCGTTCCTTCAGCAACAGAACTGCAGAGACCAAGGAAAATCAGCAGCCTTGTTTTTTCCAAATGCACACTTTATGTATTTATTCAACAGAGAGCGAGAGAGCACAAGCAGGGGGAACAGTAAAGGGAGAGGGAGAAGCAGATTTCCTGCTGAGCAGGGAGCCCGATGCGGGGCTCGATCCCAGGACCCTGGGATCATGATCTGAGCAGAGGGTAGTTGTTTAACCAAATGAGCCACCCGGGGACCCCTGGAACTTGTTTGGTTTTTTTTGTTTTTTTTTTTTTTTTAATTTTTAAAATTTTTATCTATTTATTTATTTATTTATTTATTTATTTATTTTTTATTCTTATGTTAATCCCCATACATTACATCATTAGTTCTAGATGAAGTGTTCCATGATTCATTGTTTGTGCATAACACCCAGTGCTCCATGCAGAACGTGCCCTCCTCAATACCCACCACCAGGCTAACCCATCCTCCCACCCCCCTCCCCTCTAGAACCCTCAGTTTGTTTTTCAGAGTCCATCATCTCTCATGGTTCGTCCATGGAACTTGTTTTTTTTTTAAGGTTTTATTTATTTATTTTTTTGAGAGAAAGGGAGAGAGCACGCGTGGGGGGAGGGGCAGAGGGAGAAGCAGACTCCCCGCTGAGCAGGGAGCCCGATGCGGGGCTCGATCCCAGGACCCTGGGATGATGACCCGGGCCGAAGGCAGACGCTTAACCGACTGAGCCACCCAGGCGCCCTTGTAAATGCACACTTCAGAACAAAGTGTCCATCCACCTGTACAGCTCTGGGTACTATTTAAAAAGGGGGGGGCTACCTATCAGCCCAGGATGATAAGCCAGGCCAAAGTAAGTGGGGGGCCCCCGGTAAGCTGTGTAAAGCCGAGGTGCGGCCTCAGGCAGCTCCCAGCCAGGCTGCACTGGGGTGAAAGCTGTGTACCCTGCTCCCATGAGCCTCGCGTGTGCCCCATGACCCTCTGTGCCTTGACGTTGCAGGCCTGGCGCAGGTGCCCGGGAAGCTGTGTGCCCACTACGCCTGGGACGCCGATGTGTTGCTTCAGGCGTGGCCGGCCGTGGACCCGCAGTTCCTCCAGCAGCCCGACGCGGTGGAGATGGCCGTCCTGGTGAGCGTCTCCTGCAGCCCCGGAGCCGGAGGCTGACCTGACCGGCGCAGGGGGTCGGGCCTTTCTGGCCACCCGGCCGGACTCGGCCTGACCGTCCCGCCTGCCTTACACTTTAGCTTTCAGGCCACCACACACCACGAGCTTGTGAGCACCAGGCGCTCACGGCCCTCAAGGGATGAGAAGGCGGACCACGTAACCCTGTCCTGCTTTATAGGTCCTGATCGCATCGCCTTGACCCCCTGCGGTGTCGCAGTCTCCTCGGCGGCTCCTGGTTCATTTAGGGAGGAGGGTGATGGTGAGCAGGCTGGCAGAGTAGGAACACCTCCCCGAAAAAGCTATTTCAGAAAGGCTACGTAACGTTCCTTTCTTCCTTTCTTTTCTTTTTTTCTTTCTTTCTTGGTAAACTGCATCATTGTAGATACATAAAAGTAGTTTTTTATTTCAACCTTTTACAGAGCAAATAACTCAGATAGTTTATCCTGTATGTAATTTTTACATATTTAATGTGTTTGCTCTGAAACACATTATAAGGAATATTTAATGCTGATGTGGCTGAAGAGGGAAAGAGGAATGGGGGGGGCTCTTGGCACGTCTCTGAACCACACGTGGGGCCAGGTCATTCACATCCAAGATTTCATTACGCTCTTATCACTCCGTCAAATAGGCATTTCCATTCTCCTTGATTTCAGTTGAGAAATCAGGCTTGGAGAAGTTGGTCACCTTGCCCAAGTTTATTTGCTCGTTCGTCAGTAATGATCGAGTTACCTGCTGTGGGTGAGGCACAGTGGTCGGCTCTGGGGGTACAAAACCAAACGGGACAGCAGGGTCCCTGCCCTGGTGGAGCTGAAAGCCGAGTGGGAGAGATCGGGAAAAGGAAAGAAAAATAAATAAAATCACTGCAAATGGTGAAAAGGGCCATGAACACACCACCCAGGAGCTGAGGGAGAGCCCAGCCTCACGGGGGCCCAGTCGGCCAGGCCCCAGCTCTTCTGCATCTGTGCAAACCGTGGGCCAACCAGCAGGTCGGTGTTTGGAAAGACGGCTCCATGCAGGAGACCCAGGCCCTTCCTAGCCACTTTGTCTCCACACCACCTCCCCTGGCACCTAGTTCCCCCCCAACCCCACTTTGCTTCCCCCACAGAGGGGAGGACATGGGCCTGCCCTGGTGGGCTTCTTTCCCAAAGCCTCAAAACCGAAAATAGCCTTGTGGCACAGAGAAGTTTCTTTACCCTAAGTAACGTTTATAAGAAATAATCCCACGTACCCATGAGAACTTGTCCTCAGCACGAAGAAGTGCCAAACTTGAGAAACCGAAGTTTGAGGCTATACAATACGATTTCACTTTAATCACTGTAGAAAAGACATCTAGTTCTGGTCGGTCATTGGTAAAATGTGGTTTTAAATTATCGTGGGAGTGAAAACCCAAAGCTTGAGATGTGAGTAGGACTCCCTGCAGGTTCACCCAACTGGAGAACTTCCGACTCAGGGCACCGTGCCACGTGGCGGAACTTCCGTGGAGGCCTATGTTCTGTGTCTGTGTGACCTCAGTTGGTGCCCTGGCCAGAAATAGCAGATGCGGTGACAGTCAGCGTCATTCAGCGTGGTTCAGGCCCGCTGTGCCCGTAGTATGCAGGGCTGGGCCCAACACCAAGGATCCCCAGCCCAGAGGCACCGCCTTAGCTTCCAGCAGCTCAGTGCACAGGAGGGACCGTCTTAAGGGGCCCACGACTGCCACGCACACAGGGAGTTTCTGTAGCCTCCAGGTTAAGGCATAGAGCTTGGGAGTGAGACCATCCTGCTTGGAAGTCTTCGTGTTACAGAATACTTCTGTAGGCCTCTGTTTTCTCAATGACGAAAGGGGGCGAACTCAGTGCCTAGCTTTGCCCGTTGTGAAAAGAATTAGATTAGATAATGCCAGGAACTGCTTAGCCCGCTTCTGGACACACTAATGACAAAACCCACTAACAAGTAGTGAGCGCCGACTAAGGGCTGGGTGCTGCCCTAAGATCTTTCCAGATACTGACTCGTTTACCCTGCACGACAGCCCTGGGAGTGGGCCCTGGTCTACCCACGTCACAGACAAGGCCGCTGTGTGACCCAAGTCCATTTTACAGGTGAGGGAATGGCAACAGAAGGGGGCCCAACCCCCGGGGGACATGGCAGGTGCTGCTAGCTGCTGGTGTGGACATCACTGCTTCTGGCAGTCGGGCATGGCTGCAAGGGGGCGTGGGGCCTGGGCTCGAAAGAGGAGCAGTGTTTCCCTGGTGGAAGAGGATGCCTGATCACCGGGAGCAAAGGCAGAGAAAGCCCTCAGTGATGTCAGGTCTGTGAGCCGTGGAGAGGCTAAAACATAGGCATAGGACGGGCGCCGCTGGGGAGAAGGCCAGGCTCCAGCCCCGAGAGGGTTGGGGGCTGGCAGGGCATCTGATCAGGGGGAGGAGAGGACCCAGGAGGTTCTTCTGTCTCCACCACTTGCTGGGTGAAGTGGCTTCACCTCGTGTGCCTCGGCTTCCCCATCTGTAAAATGGGCACAGAGTGGTCATGCATGTCCCTCACGGGGCTGTGGGAGGAGAAACAGGTTGGCTTAGGTAGATTGTGTGGCTTAGCACCTGGCACGGAGCGAGAACTTAGCGGGAGCTTTCATTGTTCCTAGCTATCACATGTTGCTGGGTGGCCATGGGTGGGACAGGGGCAGTGCTCACGGCCAGGGGCCTGTGAGGCAGCAGTTGGAAAAGTCTGGGAGAATGATGCTGAGGCCCTGGACCGAGGCTGTGAGTAATGAGGGAAGGTGGCAAAAATGGAAGTTTGTAGGGCCACCAAATGGGGACTGGAAGACTTTTCTCAAGTCAAATGGCCACTATTTGAGGTGATTTGAAAGAACTGCTTCCCCTTTAGACCCCTGAAGGCCAGGTCCAGTGTGGAATCCCACCTGGGCTTCTGTTGTCCCTTTAACTGTTGCCTCCTGCCAGGAGGTGGAGTGTGATGGAGACCCACTCACTCTGAAGGGACTGCCCTGGGTAAGGCAACTCAGGGGAGTCCCAGGAGCCAGAAGCCAGGAGAGGGTGCCCAGGGCCGCATGGGAAGGCCCATTGGGCTTCCTGGCCACATCCAGAGGTCACGAGCCCCACCCCTGCCCCAGCTGGGGTCAGGAATGACTCAGCTCCCTGGACAGGCCTCACCAGGGACAACTGAGGGCCAGCCCCCAGGCTCTAGGGAAGCACTTGGTCTAGAAGTATTTCGGGTCATGGTGCTGAGGCCGTGTATCGAAGAGGACATCCCACACTGGCTCCTTCCATCCTGGCCGGGAGTCCCGACAAAGACCAGGGGACAAGGGGGTGTGGGGTGTAAGGCCTAGTGAGCTGGTCCCTTCAGACAGGTTTTCTCCCTCAACAATCCAGAGGGATCCATCCTTAAAGAAGAGAAAACTGAAGTCCAAGCCTAAGAGCCTGCACAAGAGCACGTGCTCTCTCCCCCAGCACCCCACCACGGCAAGTGGCCGGGGGAGCCCCAGCCCTGGGCCACTCTTCCCTGGGTGAGAACTGAGACTGGAGCCGTGACTCATGAACAAGAACCAGTTCTGAGACTGCCGTGTTTGGGGCCCCCAGGACTTCATGAAGGGTGCGGCTTTGGTGTGACAGGATGGGAGATCTTTTCTGAAGTCTTAGTCAAAGCAAGCCCGCGGTCGTGAAAGAAGGCGGCTTCCAAGTGGCTTAGAAACAAGATGGCGGGGGCGGGGAGCGAACAGCAGCCCTAGTCCCACAGCTTTAGGACACCAAACTCCTGCATCCGGGAGACTCACACCTTTTAGAACCATTTTCTAGAATATTTCAGGACACAATGTGTTACCGTCTTTGGCTCCCACCCAGTGACGTAGGTTGTTGACGCAACCCAGAAAAATGCCCCTGAGTTCGACGTACATCTGAAAAAAAAATGAATGAGGGACACCTGATAGGCTGTGGTTGCAACCTGAGAAATTATTCCTGGTAACTTTTCATAATACGGAGTGAAAAAACCAGGAGTGTTAGTGAAAGTGTTCTCAGGGGAGCGGTGGGATGGAGGATTTGAAGCTCGGCTGCTCAGAAGCCATGTGGGCCGGGAGAACACCTCCCCCCCAGCCGATACTGGTTCACATTTGCTGTGAAGCATGTCCTTATTGAGCGGTACTCAGTGAATAGCCACTGACGTCTGGAACTGGACCGGCCCGTTCTCGGCAAGGCTGAGTTAAAGTGATGGGTCCAGTTTCCCAGTCCCCATGTCCTTATTGAGCAGTACTCAGTGAATAGCCACTGACGTCTGGAACTGGACAGGCCCGTTCTCGGCAAGGCTGAGTTAAAGTGATGTGGGTCCAGTTTCCCAGTCCCCATGTCCTTATTGAGCAGTACTCAGTGAATAGCCACTGACGTCTGGAACTGGACAGGCCCGTTCTCGGCAAGGCTGAGTTAAAGTGATGTGGGTCCAGTTTCCCAGTCCCCATGTCCTTATTGAGCAGTACTCAGTGAATAGCCACTGACGTCTGGAACTGGACAGGCCCGTTCTCGGCAAGGCTGAGTTAAAGTGATGTGGGTCCAGTTTCCCAGTCCCCATGTCCTTATTGAGCAGTACTCAGTGAATAGCCACTGACGTCTGGAACTGGACCGGCCCGTTCTCGGCAAGGCTGAGTTAAAGTGATGTGGGTCCAGTTTCCCAGTCCCCATGTCCTTATTGAGCGGTACTCAGTGAATAGCCACTGACGTCTGGAACTGGACCGGCCCGTTCTCGGCAAGGCTGAGTTAAAGTGATGTGGGTCCAGTTTCCCAGTCCCCATGTCCTTATTGAGCGGTACTCAGTGAATAGCCACTGACGTCTGGAACTGGACAGGCCCATTCTCGGCAAGGCTGAGTTAAAGTGATGTGGGTCCAGTTTCCCAGTCCCCATGTCCTTATTGAGCAGTACTCAGTGAATAGCCACTGACGTCTGGAACTGGACAGGCCCGTTCTCGGCAAGGCTGAGTTAAAGTGATGTGGGTCCAGTTTCCCAGTCCCCATGTCCTTATTGAACAGTACTCAGTGAATAGCCACTGACGTCTGGAACTGGACAGGCCCGTTCTCGGCAAGGCTGAGTTAAAGTGATGTGGGTCCAGTTTCCCAGTCCCCATGTCCTTATTGAGCAGTACTCAGTGAATAGCCACTGACGTCTGGAACTGGACCGGCCCGTTCTCGGCAAGGCTGAGTTAAAGTGATGTGGGTCCAGTTTCCCAGTCCCCATGTCCTTATTGAGCAGTACTCAGTGAATAGCCACTGACGTCTGGAACTGGACAGGCCCGTTCTCGGCAAGGCTGAGTTAAAGTGATGTGGGTCCAGTTTCCCAGTCCCCATGCTTGGGCGCTGCGTTTTGGAGTCCGGCCCCCGACAGGGAGGTTGCCTGCCTTCCCCAGGAGCCAGTCACCCCCCAAGACCTGGGTAAAATCCTCGGTGACACTCGCTGTGAGCGGAACTTCGACTCGATCCCCAGTGACACAGCCGTCCCTCTCCCCCTGGAGGCCGCTGAGGGTTTTGACCTAACTTCCAACAGGGCGCGCTCCAGGTGTGGTGCCCCATCCTCTCTCTCCCAGTCTGTGGTTTTCGGGCATTAATCCTGTCCTCCCTGCCCTCTGTCCTCTGGGGAAGCTGGTGCCGCATCTTCCTGCTTCCCACGGGCGTTGGTATGGGGCCACCTGTCACCCTCAGGATTGTCCTCATCGTTTGTCTCGATTTTCTCCTCCTCAGATCAACAACAAAGCCTGCGGCAAGATCCCCGTGCCCCAGGGAGTCGCGCGGGACCAGGACAAAGTCCATGAGCTCGTCCTCCAAAGCGAGCTGGGTGTCCAGCTCTTGCAGGGGCGAAGCATCAAGAAGGCTTTCCTGTCCCCCAGAACGGCCCTCATCAACTTTCTGGTGCAGGACTGACTACAGGGGGTGCCCCTGAGGAAGGAGGAGTGTGCTGGCCCAGGGCAGGGAAGAGACCAACGTCTTGAATGTTTACCTTCATGCTCAGTTGGGTGGGCTTGGGCAGTGCGGTGGGGCCCGGCGCAGGGGTGAGGGTGGGTGTGGGCAGCTGCTGCAGGTGGAGGAAGCCAACTGAGGCGTGTGAAGCCACCAGAGGAACTGCTGGGTGTCCCCTGGGTGTCTGCAGGAAGGCGAGAAGAGAAGCAAGTGAGAATGAGTGGCGCGCCTCTCGAGCAGCCTGGGAGCTCTGACTCCTAGAAATCGTACACCCAGGAACATGAGGGTAAACTGAGGACCCACACACCGCACAGGAGCAGCGTGGACAGCCAGTGTTGGACGGGTGACAGCCTGGGCATCGTGGCAGGTGGTCTCCTCGCTTTCACGCTGGACGGAGGAGCCATGTGGGTCATGTCCAAATATCCAGTATATGGCGTGGCCACTGCGGTCTGCAGAAGCTGCTCCGAACCCGAAGGCAGGCGGGGCCTGTCCCTCCGCAGTTGTCCCCACTGCAGGCCTGCACGGATGCTGACACGGGGGCTCTTCCTAACCACTCCCTCGGGGTGTCAGTGTGCTGTGTAGTGAAGCAGAACCACGCTGGTTCTGAGCTCAGCTGGAACCAGTCCCTTCCAGGGCGCACCGCAGCCCCGCGGGGAGGCTGCTCAGGTGGGCCCCAGATGGCCCCGCCGTGGGTGTGGCCCCAGAGCCAGGCATTCGCTTGAGCAAGCTCCCCGCGGCCGAGGGGGCTGGTGCCACCGGGCGCTGCCTCCGTGTTCAGGCCACCGCCGCCTGGCTGCCCAGGAGGGGTCAGGATCGGACCCCCGTTGTCGGTGCATTAGGGTAATGTGGTTTTCTGTGAAGTCAGCAATTAGGTGCTCTTCCCAGAACTGGCCTGAGCCACTGATTAATACTTAATGGGGCAGTGGAGGAGAATTTAGCCATTCTGTGCTACTGAAAGGCTATGTGTTCTGATGCTGTTTTTCTGAAGTAGCTTCAGATGTGTCTATAGTCGAGCAGCTAACAGATGACTTTTTTTAAATGCAATAAAATATGTGTCATGTGTGATCTTGGAATAGCCGCCATATTTCCCATTCTAGGAGTTAATCAGGAACAGATCGAGGTGTTCCATCATCATCAGGGGCACATGGAAAGTCATAAAGTGAGGTGTGTGGAGGACTTACAGAACGTGGTAGACAACCCTGGTTCAGGCTCGTTAGCCATAGGGGTTAAGTTATTGGATCTCAAATGTGGCTCAACTTGATATCATGCCTGGTCCCCATGCCCAGAAATTCTGATGTAATTGATCTAAGGTGTGTTTGGGCATCAGGGAACCTTACAAGCTGCATGGGTGAGTCTAATGGGCAGCAAAGTGTGAGAACCACTGGGTTAATTGATGGATTTGAACCGTAATGTCTAACTAGTCCTTCCTCTCCCTCTCTCCCGCCTCACTGGGATGAGTCTGGTGTGGGACCCAAGCATGAAGGAGCAGAGCTGGGAAAGACCAGGCCCAGAATGGGAGGCAGGGGCCAGAACTCTCCAGCAGGTACTTAAGATGCTCCCAGAGCCCACTTGGGTGTACACGGCCCCATTCCCTGTGGATTCAATATAAGCAAGTGGATGCCGATATTTGATATGGGGGGGAGCCACGAGTGCTTTTGCTTGATTGTCCCGTTTCTTCCTAAAGTAGCTGAGTGGCCTTGAGCCCATCAACAGGATAAGGGCAGGGAGCCCTTTATCTGCACGTAATCTGGCCAGAGCAATGGGCCATTAAAGCCTCAAGGCTACTGGACTAACCAGCCATGGCTTTGGAGAACTTTTTTTTTTTTAAAACAGGAGCTCCTTGGTACTACTAGAGATGGTTGGTATAAAGAACAATGGAACAGAATGCTAATCCCTGGGGGTAGGGAGGTGGGGTGGGGAATGATCTCAATCCTTTATTAACTGCCTTGATTAGGTCAAAAACCGGACTCAACAAGTTCACTTGCATTATGTCACGTAACTCCCACAAAAACCCTACAGGGAAGGAATTATCCTCTCTTAAATACAAAGAAACCCAGGCTCTGAGGTTCCGTGATTTGCTCAGTTTCCACAGCAGAAAAGGAGAACTGGGATCCAAACCCACATCTTCTGGCCTCCGAATCCCCTGATGCCACCCCGCTGTGTTGGCCCGGCCCCCCGCCCCCCTGTAATTGCCCGTCTTGGCCCGAAGTGCCACAGTCAGGAAACGGAGACGCTGGCCAAAAGTCAGCATTCTGAGCAAAGTCTGGCCTGCCCTCTCTGTGAAGGCCTCACCTCTGTAAAGCCAGGGAGCCACGACACTGGCCTTTGTGCTGGCACAGGTGGTGGGTGCTGGTACGAGAGCACGGTGTGGGTTCCATAGGGCTGGAGGCAGAGGTCATTGCCAAATCGGTGGAACGCCCAGGTTCACGGGCGATGGCAGGGCGATGAGTGAAGAGAGTTTACACATAGGGAAAGCGGCGCCTGGGAAGCCCCACGGCAGGCAGATGCCCCTACAGTAGGTGCTAACTGTCAGCCAAGGAAAATGAAATTGATCTCTGAGTCCCTAAAACAATAAATGAGCTGAGCAAAGGCTTAGACATGCTTCAGCCCAACCTAATGACATGCACACCCCTGGGGAGCTGGTTAAGGAAAATGGGGTACAGCCAGTCAGTGGAAGACGAAGCAGCCAGCCAAAGATGGTTTATTAAAAAAACCATGTAATATGACATTTTTCTCATGAATAAATCAGTATATTTACACAATGTGATCCTGACCATAATTTTTTAAAAATTCCAACCGTTACAGAGAGAGAAGGAAATTTGCCCACAAATCATTGGTGGAGAGTCCTATGAGTAATTTTTTCCTTCTGTTTACTTTTTTTTTTTTTTTTGCATATTCCAACTTGTATTGGCCATGTGGTATTTCAATAATGGGAGGAAGATAAAATGTACAATTTTGTGAAGATCCAAATGAGCTAAAGGCCTGCCCCCCTTGATTTTTCTTTTTTCTCCCACAGTAGCAAGTTGCCCGTTGGGATGTGCCCCAACTAGGAAAACATAGGCTCTTTTTTGTATGCAGTAGAATCTAAAGAAGCAAAAAGCAGCCCCATGAAGCTGGTGTTTGCAGCCACTCGGTGTGGGAAGGTGTGCGACCCTCCTGAGCATCTCTCAGCCTCAAATTCTTGCAGCCCGAGGACAGAAGAAGAGGAGGTAACATTCCCTTCATGGAACTTTCCTGTCCTCGGTGGATAAACCAATATGGCAGCCAAGAGTGTGAGCTCCGGCGTCAGCCAGAGCAAGGTTCTGTGACGACGTGACCAAGTGACTATGTCACTTGAAACAGTGAACCTTTGTTTTCTCAACGATAAAACAGGAGTAAAAACCATGCCTTGGGCGGGGCGCCTGGGTGGCTCAGTTGGTTAAACAACTGCCTTCGGCTCAGGTCATGATCTTGGGGTCCTGGGATCGAGCCCAGATCGGGCTCGTCTGTTTCTTCCTCACCCTCTGACCCTCCCCTCAGCTCGTGCTCTCTCTCTCAAATAAATAAAATCTTTTAAAAAATAGTATTGTCTAGGGCGCCTGGGTGGCTCAGTTGGTTAAGCGACTGCCTTCGGCTCAGGTCATGATCCTGGAGTCCCGGGATCGAGTCCCGCATCGGGCTCCCTGCTCGGCGGGGAGTCTGCTTCTCCCTCTGACCCTCCCAGCTCTTGTGCTCTGTCTCTAAAATAAATAAATAAAATCTAAAAAAAAAACCAAAAAAACCATGCCTTGGGGTATGAGGATAAAGTAAGAGAATGTGTGTAAAGCACCTGGCACATAGTCTCTCACTAAAAGAGAATGGCTCATTATGAGTAATCTTGCCTGAGTAAAAATAGGCTAATGGTCTAGAATGGGATTATCTTTGGTCAGAACGAAGGGAACATTTAGAAAAATACGTATCCCGGGCCTGTTGAGGAAAAAGATTTCAGCAGTAAACTTGGAGGAATTTTAATCCCGTTGGGTAGAATCAGCCCTATTATTTGGTATTTTCACCTCCTGTCCTGAGACCTTTTTATTACCTGTGTCCATGATTCCATGCCTGCTGATTAGTTTCTTGGAGCTTCATGTGGGTGACGGTGATCTCTCCTTGGTGCTGGGGACCCTCTTTTCCTTACGGGGTGGCCCAGGCCACAAACAGTCTGACAAGGATCCGGGAAGCTCCCAACCTTCTGGCCCCACGCTCGCCATCCGCTTTTGTCCCAGGACACATGGGATTGTGACGTGGGAAAGAATGCAGCAAGGGACAAAAAGCCAAGAGCTGGAAACCATACGCGTGAGCCTAGCCTCAGCCCTTGGATCAAGTCTGGTTTGGGTGGGGTGGCCTGCCTGTAGCACCCAAAGTAGAAGGTTGCCCGAGTGGCCTCTGTGCCCTTTCCTCTACAGCAGGTACTGGAAAGGGGAGCCTGTGATGTCCGGGGGGGCCTCTCGACTGAGTGGAGCTGCCGTCATTCTTACTGTGTCCCCTGCCTTGGCTTGGAGTTTCCTGATCGGTGGCCTGAGGCTGCCAGGAGCAATGGCCCAGTGGTGTGAGCTGGAGGAGGTTGGGGGCCACATGGAAAAGTCCACCAGAGACCCTGGCGGGCCTTTCGTGGCCCAGGGGCCTCTTGGCTGGCCAGTGCTCAGACACGATGGCCTCCAAACCAAAAGTGGGGCATCAGAAGTTTCCATTGACAGGTGATTTGGGACCACAGGCCAAAGAGGGCATGGTTCCTGCACCAGCCGGCCTCCCTGCCGGCTGCCCCCCTTTGTCTTCCTCCTCCTGGAGGGGACTTTGCCACTGCTCTGGCATTGTCACACCAAAGTGACAAAGTGGGAATTATGGCCCACTTCCTACAAATCAGGAAAGAAGCCTAGAAATGTACAGTGAACTCCCTAAGTTGTAGCACTAGGAACTGCTGGAGCCCGGACCAGCCCCCGGCCCCTGCTTCCTCCACAGCACCCACCTGCCTACCTGGGAGGCAGTACAGCTCGTACTTGCTCTTTCTATCCAGAGAATTCTGAACTGGAGCTCTGGCAGGCGTGCGGCCCTGCGGATGTGTCCCTCCTTGCAGAAGGGGCTGGGCTTTTGTGAATTTTTTTGCACCTATCCACCGTTGGCTGCGGGTCACTTCTGGGGGGTGGGGGTGATAACTTCTTGGGCATCTGGAGGTGAAGGGACTCCCCTTGGCTCAGGGCAAGTCTCTGGAGAAGGGGCACAGCAGAGCCCCCAGCAGCCGGCCCGTGAAGGGGATCAATCGGTGTGGGTGCGCCCACGGCGACCATCACGGGGAGAGAAGGCGCCAGTCAGAGCCCGGGAAGCAGCGCGTCTGCAGGTGAGGAAGGCTCCAGAACAGCAGCCAGACTCCCAGGAGATGTGGAATGCGGGACGGAGTCTGAGCAAGCCCAGCCGCCTCTGGCCCACCCTGTGCCAATACGCTGTGTGGCCCTGGGCAGTGCCACTGGCCTCGGGGCGGTGGGCGAGACCAACCGGGGGGCCTTAGCATCCCCCTTCTGCTGCTGCTGAAACTGTGGCTCGAATGGGCTGAGACTTGCTTGAGACCACGGCCAGTAAGTGATGAAGTATCTTGACTCCGATCTGTGCCCGTTCCACTTGCAGCACCCCTCCCCTGCTTTGTAGGGCAAGCCTGGTGCTCCTGGCAGCAAAATTCAGCTCAGGCTGTAAATCATCCAAGGGATGAGCCCCGCCGCACCCTAGAGGTCAAGGGAAGGCACAGGGTAGGCCAAATGAGAAGTTTGCTCTCCCCTTCTTCCCTGGGAGACTGAGGAGCAGAAAACATCTGCTTCGCGGGCTGGGTGTCTGTCCGACACTCCAAGGTGGGCGGCTAAAGGCTCTCATCCAAGCTGATGAGTTTGGGGATTGGAATCTGGGATGACCAACAGCGAGCGAGGGGGGGCATCCCCCGAGGGTGGGTGGGCAGTGCTCGGAAGGGGAGAGCCTGGAACACGCAGGGAAGGAGGCCCCAGATCCAAGGGTGGGGCCCCTCCAGGCTTCCATCGTATCTCTGGGCCCGCCCGCCTGGGGGAGGCGTGCAGCG